CTCACAGCTGGAGGAGTCACTCTACACTTGCTCTCCACCGCCCTTAATTGCCCAGGCTGCTGCTGGCTGCGAGGGAGAGGGAAGGAGGCCAACCTGGCTCAACGGTTTTACAAGCGTTACTGTGGGATAACTGAGGGTCTATCCCTTTTATCCTGCACCGTTCAGAAATGAAGTTCCCCCAAGTGCATTGTAGTGATGTGAGGTATTGGCGAAAGAGTGAGTAAAATTGTTCTATCTGATTAATAGTCTTTGGTTGTATTGACTTGTTCCTTATTGATATAAAATTTACTAACTGTTATGCAGGAGTACATCACACAAAGCAAATGAGACCACAGGGTGACTGGCTCTTAATGGTCAGATTGAGTACTTATGTTGGATTTTGGATTGTGTTATAATTAATCAATCCCAAAAAACACCCTTTGTAGCAAATTACTTAATACAAAACACTGAATCTCTAAGAAAAAAAAAATAATTCCCTAAGTTTTGTTTGGTTCAAATGACTTTCTTCTGAAATCAGAGGAAATAAGAGAACAGTGACTTTTTTTGGTCAGTAGCTCTAAGATGACACTTCCAGCCAAAATATTAAATGCTCCATCATCAGTCTGACTAAACTATTTATTTTCCCCAGTAATCACCTATTTATACCAAAAGTATCCAGTAACACTTTATGTGTTTTTTTTTTTTTAAGCCATGTATGTGCTGCAACTGCCAGCATGTATGTGCTGCCTGACCACATACCTGGGATTTTTTCACCAGTAGCTGCTTACTTCGTGGCAGTTACTCCTGATTTCTCTTGACCTGAAGGGAAGGCAATGAGGCCTTACTCAGCTGCAGCTCTTTGAAAACCTTTTCCAGTACAGCCAGCTGGGTGCAAGGTCTGTGGTTTGGCTTGTGGAGAGGCTTCATTGGCCAATATGGGGAGAAGTCCAAAAAAAGTCCACTGGGGGTGGACACAGTGGCACGCAGCCTTCCTGACTCCTCTGTGACTGAATAATATTATTACTACTAACTTCATCTTGCATATGGAAAATGCAGGTATCAGGGATGGGAAAGGAGAAACTGTTCCAATGTCTGTATATAAGGTGATGAGGTTACAGAACACATAAATGCAGGATTTCCAGTATCCAAGTATTGGATGAAGACAGTGTTGAATGCGCGCCTGCATTTGTAAAGGACTGATACCTCTGAATTTGTGCCCAAGCCTGTAAAGAATAAGACCAGTATAAGCTGCAACCTTAAATATTATGGTGTCTGTTTTACCAGGGAACTGGACAAGATGATGCTAACTTTTAACTGTGATCCCACATATCAGTTTATTCAAAAGAATATAGAAATACATATATTTTCTTTCTTTGAACAAGAGGCATGAGCTGGAAAAGGCATTAGGGGCCTGAAAACTGCATGTGCTATTACCACAGCCCTTGCAGAGCCGGCTGTTGACAGGACACTTTGTTCTGCAGAGATTGTCAGGGAGGTTTTGTTTTGCTTTTAATTGTCTCTATAGAGGATGGAAAGCCTCTGTTGAGAGGCTTTAATACAACATCTCTGCTGCCTATTAATTCTTGAGATCTTGCTAACTAGCTTTGTTTCCTCCTTAGAGTTGCGGGCTCTCTTTTGCCGGAGCACGAAGCTATGTATGCGCAGCGTTTGTCACTTGGTTAAAGCCAGCATTTTCCTACTGCCACAGACAAGGCCGTCCTGTATTGGCTGCAGAACAAGATAACGGACTTAATCTTCCCAGTAACACGTGAGTTTTCATGTATCACTTTAATCTGCGAAACACTGGGGCTGAGTGTACCGTCACATGCTGATTTTACTTTTCTATGAGCGAGTGACTCCCGGGTTCAATGATGGATTGTTTGCTCTCTTTAAACAACAGTCAAGATGGTGAATGCCCCGGGGTGATAGACAGTGTGCAATGGGAAAGGCAGCAAATCTGATGGCCCAGTTCAAGTTCACCTGACAAAGCTGAAGCAGTCTGCAAGCAGCATTCGAGAAAGGATTATTCACACTAGCATTATATTTTTGAATGCATTTTTCTTCCTGCGCAGCTGCCCAGCTCCCCAACACTGAAGGTTTATGCACCATAATAAAGAGATTTAATTTTTTTTTCCTCTTGCTTCTCCCTCTTTACACCTAGTTCTAATCGGTCGGTGCAGTGATAGGGCATCTTTCCAAACAACTCGGCACAAACATCACCTAGAAAACAATGGCATTGCTAAAAAGTGGGAACAAAAGCCTAAAAATCTCTGCTGGCTGTAGAAACAAAAGCAGATGGTTTTGTAAAAGCTAACTCTCCGTTGGAGACCCATCTTTTTGTGGAAGTTTGATGCTGTGTTCCCTTTCCCATAATGAAAAATCTCCCCAAATAAATAATCCCAGCCTTTTTGCTCTCAGGGTTTTGGAGAAGAAGAGGAGAATTTGAAATGAAGGCAGCTTTTCACTGCTGATGTAGTGGGAAAGCTATATACCATTTATCAAATGAAGAACCCCATAATACATGTGTGAGTGCAGAAGTGCATATTCTGAAGGTTCTGGCATGGTCTTTGAAGAGTAAAATCTTGGTCTCATCATATTTTATTTTGGCTGGAGAGGCAGGTTCCTGAGCAGGAAGATGTTAGCTCCAGTCCTGCGTATGTATTCATGTCATATGTGTTAAGGGGAATGTAGCTGGTTTTTGAATTTTCCCAGAAGTTGCTTTTCTGCTTCCCAGACAGCCTAACACCACCAGGAAAGATGTGCTGGAAGAATGTAAGATCACTTACTTTCTCCTTTGGAACAGAAAATCAGCTGCAACCTGTATATGCAAAGATATGCCTTCTGCTTTAAATCAAAATCTCCAATGCATCCCTGAGAGAGGCTGAAACAAGCATTCTCCTGTGAGCCCATGCAGGTTAATGACCCATCAGAAATTAAAGTTGAAGCCCATTCATCCTGGCCAGGTAACTCATTAAAAGTCTGTCCATAGTAGATATAAAATGGACAGTTGTATTTTTTAGGACTAAACACATTAGTTGAATTATTTGATTTGAAAATGCTTCTTTCATCATAATCTGAATTTGGGTAATATTGGCAACAGCTTTTTAAAAAAATTTCAACCAGACACTCCTTTTGCTTTAATTCAGCATTGAGTAGGTGCAGCATTTTGTGTGAGGAGCCCCCATTCCCTCATTTTTATGGATCTTTTCTCTACAGCACATGTAAATATTATCTGACCATGGCAGCAGGTTTGACTCTTTTCAGCTATTCAGCCTGTGTGGGGGGTAAAAAAAATAATAATAAAAAAAATTTTATATATATATATTTCAGCAGTTCAGCTAGAATTCACAAAGTAAGGAGGGCCTTGCTTTCCTCTACTTGCTTCTGAAATTTACTAGGACAAAGTAACTACCAGTTTGGTCTCTTGGAAGTGAGTGAGTGTTACCAGCATGTGAACTGCTGCAGGTGTTAAGTGTTACCATTGCTGGCGTGCACAGTGCTGCCTTCAGCACCACGTTCATCACACTCATTGATAAGCCTGTGTTCAGGACAAGGGCGGGGTGGAAGGGCAGATCTGGTGCTGGCAGAGCTGATTTTCTTTGGCCTTAGTGGGAAGGGACCAACATAGCTCTGCATTTCATACTTTCCAGTTCTCCAGGTGGTGTCTCACAAGAGTCCAAGGAGGTCACATGAAGGAATTGCAAACTTTAGTTTAAAAAAAGAACAACCAAAAAACAACCAAACATTAACACAACAAAACAAAAAAGCCTACAAAAGGTTGTTTCATAAAAAATAAAAAGCTGCAGCTGCCTCCAACCCAGCCACACAGTGCTGAAGCATGTGGCCGGCATACATGCCACAGACCACTCAGTCCTGGTGTTAAACATCGGGGGCTGAGTGTGCCCCATAACAACCACAAACAATAAGAAAAATACTGCTAAAATGTTGGAGTTAAAGGACTAAGTTGCAGCTGTTTGTATGTGTGTTCCAGAACAGGCAGGGTTGTCAAGAAAAACCCTCATCATATAGGTACAAACTTAAACCTCTGACTGTGCGAGTGGAGTGGGGTGGTCTTGGGGTGGGCTGTTGGTAGGGGCAGTGTGTATAGCTGGAACCAAAACTACCACTGAGGCTGCTTAGTCTGTATCAGTGCTTGTGCTTATTAAGTGCTGGACTGCCCCCAGAACTGCTCCTTCGTACAAGCGGTTACGTTCACATTCAGTAAGATTATTTGTGGGAATCAGTTATGGAACTGATCACCAAATCTCTAGTGTTCAGCTTCCATTACAGGCAGAAGAGATGTGCTAGCCTCAAGTGGGAACTATTCTTCTCTTTGGAAAGTCTTCTAAGAGTTTGTTAAATGTAGCAGTCATAAATTAACCATGTAAAGCATGTCTTTGCTCAAGAACAGTATTTTTTCCTTGCAGAGCACCAGAGTTTTCTTGGCTGTTACAGTTAAAACCGTATTTCCATCTGTTTAGGTATTATGTGGTCACATATGGACATATACAGACACACCTCTGAAAGAAACTTTATTTTTTAAGCAATACAGAACATTATCAGTTGTTCCCTGAAGCATTTATATGAGGTTTTGAGAGTTTTACAGATCACTGAAACACAATTCTTTGCTTCTGTCTCACTCCATCTCGTATTCATTTCCAAAGAGCAGATGGTGCCTATTGCCCTTACTGGGCCTGCTGACAGATTAGAAGGTTATAGTCTTATAGTACATCTCTAGCTGAATTTTGGAGGCTGTTTTCTTCCTTCTTTTATGTTCTTCTGTTAATTCTTACAGATGGCTATGGCAACATGAGGCTCAGATGGTACACAAGATGGTAACGTGGTATTACCAGACTGGCTATAAAGACCAGAACTTGCCAAACTCATGCAGGTAATGACTGACCCGACTCACATGGATATTGTTTCAGTGGCTTTGCTCTCACAATATGCTCCTAAATGTGTGTAGGGTAAAATACTGTCCAGCCTATGGGTAATTTTTTGTTTGACTGTCTTGTGTGAGTCTACATTGGCAGCTCTACTGAGGGCCTTGTTAAAGAAAGGCAGCGACAGATTTCATTGCACTCCACGTGTTGATTATTGAAGAAGTAATAAATTCCTTTCTTCCCAAAGTTGGAGTGTGAAACGTCTTTGCTATTAAGAGAATGAATCTGAGGGTCTGTGAGGTAGATGAGGCCTTTCCCATTACCTGTCACCCAACCTGCAGAAGAAAGGATACATTGTGGTATTGAACATCACTGTCTTTGTATTATCATACTCAGGGCTGTGTGTTTCGCACAGCCCATGCTCTGTCAGTGTCACTTCTGATTCCCATTTTGCACCTATGTCAGCAATAGCAGAGCCCTAAGAGGTACATAATGAATATTTAATGAAATTAATATCCCAAAGTGTGCTAAAGGTTGAGTTTGAAAGGTTTTATCCTGGGCTTTTAACCAAAGAGCTAAATTCTCCATTAGCTGAATAAGGAACCTTTTCATACGTTTGTCAATTTTAGGAAGGAGGAAGCGTGACAAAGCCCACTGCCTTTTTCAGTGGTTCTTCTTTAGGTGGTTCCACCAGACACATCCTTGCAGACTGGCTTTAGTCTAATTGGATGCTTCATGGCATGAAGCTGTGGCACACTTGGAAGCACGCAGCTTATGTGCTCTTGCTGTGACAGTGGAGAACAAGAGCACTGCTCTAGGCAAAAAGCATACCTGCGTGTACCTCCCTTGCTTTACATCATTTAGAGACAGTCCTTTATATGGCATATGCTGCAACACGAGAGAATATACGGTAAATGAAGTTCACTGTAATACAAACCTTGCAGGTCAACAACAACGTCTGTTCCATTGGAGAACTCATAGGAGAAATGGCCGTAGGCCAGACCGTACTCTGTGGCTTTGTACTCATTCTTTACTACCTTCGTGTTATTGGACAGCTTCACAAACTCCCCAAGGATGTAGGGCTCCACACTCACACATCCTTTTATAGTTCTGTCTTCCAATAGCTGAAGAGAGAGTTTTAATGACAGTCATGTAAGTAGAGATGTGAAAACAAGGATGCTAAAGCTCCTCTAACTGAAGTCTTGCTTTTTCCCCCTAGAACTTTCCATCATAAAATGGATGGAACAAGTTTCCATATTAACCTACTGCTGATTCAAAACACAGGCTCTTTAGATGAGGAGCTCACATTTAACTAGAACAAAGGGTGATACAAGATCCAGCACAAAGTCAGCCTGACAGGCCAAACTCCGTGAGCAATGAATTCTAGAAATATCTAGTTTGTCCAGAAAATAGGAAACTTCTTTTGTGAGACTATGCCTGAAGAAAAGCTGAAAAGACTTGGGTAAACCTGCACCTGTTTCCTCTTCAAGTAAATAACCAGTGGCAGGTTTGGGGATTTTTTAAATCTTTTTTTCGTCACGTCTATATTCAGAGACTTGTATGTACTGGTGCCAGACTCTCATTAGGCCTCATTAGCAAGTGGCATAAAGCCAGAGGTAGTGCCAGAAAGGCTAACAGAAACAGTAATATGCATAGCATGCTATCATATACACACTCACAATGAAACAGTGAATTCATCTCTGTACCATGGAGGGCAGCTCTCCATATCTGACACACAAGTCAAATTGAAAGTTAAGCATAAGAATATAGAAAAGATTCTTTACTCCCCCACTAGGGACTGGCTGTCAGCTTCAACCTCTATGCCAGATCACCCAGATGCAGCTACTGGCTCTAATCATCAGGCTGAGTGCTGGCACTGCAGGGTCATGTGTCTCGCAGCTCTGCATGTTGCCCTCACAACCATCTCACAGAGGAAAGAGGGTAGCAGAAATGGCTGTCCTGGCTACAGTTACATGAAACGCATGAGGCCAATATGACCCGTGCATTAAGACTTGAGGGCATGTCTAATGCAGCCTGCTCAGACTCCACGTGTTTGGAGCTGAGTGGCCAAACAAGCATCTCCCGTGATCAAAAGTAGGTGCTGCTTTGTTGTTGTACGTATTTTAGTAGCTGGTTTTTGTTGTTTAAAGAGACTAACCCCAAAGTGCTTTTTCTTGCAACTTCTACCTTCTAGCTGCTTGCTTTTTCACCCCACTCAAGAAAGAGCAGTTCTCAGGACTTTGCTGCCCCTTCCTCCCGGGGTCTCTCCGATAACTACATCCCAACCAGCTCTCAGCCACTTGGTTCATGTGTCTCTCAGCAGGCCATCTCTGAGGCTGGACCATTGGGATGGAGGAATAGAAATGCTCCTCAGTAAGAGGTGGCTGATGGATCTGTGGCTTTGCTGAAACTCACTGTCCTGCCAATTCCACTGGCTTTTCTTCACCTGTCCAAGTACGCTCAGCTGCAAGGAATGCACAGGCATTTCCTTCTCATGACAGACCATGTCCCACATAGAAAGGTGGTGGAGAGATCCTGGTTGTGCTGTCAGGGACAAGCAGAAAAAGAGCAGACTATAGAGTATTGTATCAGTGGTGAGGTGGTGTCAGCAAGTTAATTGAACCATAGTTTAAAGGTGCCCATGTCAGTGAAGCAGTCCTCACAGCTGCATGTGTGGCACAGGGGAACACAGGCTGGAGCAACTGCCAGGGAATGGTGTCTCAAAGAGAGGTAGGACACTGCTGCCTGGGCAAGTCCTATCCTTCTCTCTGCTGAGGTGGGCCACTTCTTTATTCAATGACCTATTCCACTCCTCCTAAGAACTAATACGAATTTATATTCTATGCTAAGAGGTTGTTCTTGAGGAAAATAGCTTTTTGTGATAGCCATTTGAAGGATGACTGAGTTGCCAGTGTGATATGGCCGTGAAAAATGCAGGTCTCACTAAGGGTAAGGATTCCTACTGCCACTGCAAAAGGCATGGAGTGGTCTCTGGGGAACACTGTACAGTTCTGATCATCAATATGTAAGAAATGTGAATTCAAAGTAGAACAGGCTCAGGACTTCAAGATGAACAGGGAAA